CCGGTCAAGGCTATTTGCTTTCCTGGATGAATGAGGGGCTTTGCTGGGGAACCTTGGGAAAGCAGGTGGCTCTCAGCCAGTACGTTGTCCACTGCATGCTGCACAGGTGTCATCCTGGGACAGGATGTCATTTTGCCAGTGTGCTAGAAGCCACTTGCAGATGGAGCTGAAGCAGGAGAGGACACAGCAGATTGCAGGAAAGAGACAAAGGCATTTAGGGAATGAATCTCGGGGCCCTACCCTCTCTGGACTTTCCTATGGAGGAAGCTGTTTTGAGTGGGGCTTTCGTTCATTTCCAAATGAAAGTATCTTCCCTGCTCATCTAAATTTTGAAATTTAACATGATTTTAGAAAAACGCAAGTGAAGGGAGGATTACACAAAAAGAGGGAGCAAATAACCAGAATCAGCTAAGAGAAAAGAAGGCATTATTTGGTATAAATAGATGAGATTCATAAAGCTGTTACAGTCCCTATACACATGTGAAGTCTAGCTGGAGGGATTATCGGTACAGTACAGAAGGAAGTGAAAGCACCAAAAAGCACCAGGTAAGGAAGAGTTTAAAGCAAGCATGGCTGGTGTGGTTACAGAACATCTGTATTTGGAAGAGAATCACAATTCTTTTATACCAAATAATATATTCACAAAAAGTAGAAACACCTGAGGACTTCTTAAGCTGCAGTGTGCATTAAGTCAGCCCAAGTGCCTGTAGTCAGATCCCTGGGCAGATGAGATGCACAGGCCCTGGAGAAGGGCCTGAGACTGCACTTTCATCCCTTCTCAGTGGATGCTGCTGCTGCAGTCCATCCATCCTGCTTGCAGTGGCAAGGAAGAGCATGTGACATGAGGACTTGTCCTGGAGTAAAGAGGAGGTGACATTCAGAAAGGAAGCCATGTGCAGTGGGGCAGATGCTGCAGGAAGCTGCGGTGTTCAATGGCCCTCGGCACTGGCAGGCCATCCCAGATGGGCTTCTTCAACACATGGGGCCAGTCCACCGCAGCACAGCCTCCATGCTAAAAGCCAGCTTGAGTGCCCACAATACGATGGTGTCTGTCACAGGGCCTCGCCTCATTGCGCTCACAGAGAGTGCTGGCTGCTGCTCCTGGCCCTTCTTCCTCCCATGTCTGAGACACAGGTGCCAGGGCAAGAGATTGACTATAAGAACATTCTGGCATGGCTAGGCCCAGAGGCACCAGGGCCTATGCAAGGGCACCAGGACCAGAGAGGACCCCAGGAGAGGTGCTGCATCCTAGGCACTGATGCCAGGAGCCATCATGGTGAAAATCACTCCACACTTACATTTCCTGTGCACAGAGGGATGCCTTCAAATTTATTTGTTGGCAAAATAAGGTTTTTAAAATTCAAACACCTCTGGGACATGCAAGGTTGTCCTTCCACCATGGCTCTGTAGGACCTCTCGCATTTCCCTGGACTTCTTCCTCTCAGCCAACCAAGATCAGTCAGGAGCTTAGGAGCTTCAGCCATAAGAGTGGAAGACAGAAGGCCATCCTATCCCTCTCAGAGGTGTTCAGGGAGCTGGACAATCCTGACAGGCAAACCTTACACTTCTTTTTTAAAAATTGTTTTAAATTTTTAAAAAATCTTTTAATAATGCTTGCTTGATTTCCCCACAGTGCTTGTTAGGCTAAGAATTTAGGGTCAGGAATGAAAGGAGCAATCCATTCTTTGCATAGATGCCCCAGCATCATGTCCACAAAAGGGACATTCCTACTGGTGACAGCTATGTGGGTTTTTTTTTTCAGGACTATGCCCACCTTCCTGACCTGGAAAAGGCATGGGACAGCAGCAGCACCCAGAGGAGCCCAAGAATGTCAGGGTGGAGAACCTGGTGGTAGGTAGCAGGCGGCAGGCAGTTGACACTCAGGCTGACAAGGGAGGCTTCTGAGGAGGCTGCAGATGGCCATGGGGGGGAGAGTAGGACTTGATGGAGAAATGACTCAAAAAAAATTTCAGCTGGTGAATCTTTAATTTTTCAGAAAAGAACCCAAGTGTGCATGATTGGCTCTGGTTTTATATGCAAGTGATTACGCAGATGAAGCCAAAAATGGTTAAAAAGCAAAACCAGAAGTCTGCTGCAGCCAGGAGCGATTCCCAGAGAAGCTGCTCTCAGCACCGCAAAGCTTTTGCTTCCATTCTCAGCAGCAGTGATATTTGCTCCCAGTAACAACAAAGCAAGGGAGTCAGCGAATGCAAATGTGAAATGTGAATTAGGCAACTATTCCGCTAATATGAGGATCTCCTACATCCAGACTAGAGAGGGTGCCTAGATTCTACACTACCTGTTAGCAGCCGGGGTTCCCATGTAGCTATTCACACTGAGACTCACAAGTCAGAAAAAAAGTCTCCAAAGCTTTCTACTTAATGTTGATTGTAAACTTTAAAAAAAAATCTAGTATTTGAATCATAATAAAATTTAATATTTCAGTCAACACAAATTAATTGTATTTTTTCCCATGTATATAATGCTTTCATCTGATTTTTAAAAACCAAACAAAAGTAAACAGCCTAATTAAAAAATAGGCAAGTGATCTGAGTAGATACCACATTGAAGTTCTATGGATGGGAAGGAAGCATTGGAGATTTGCTGACCCAAAACTTCTCGGCATCAGACAGCATGTGGGGACAGCAGATTTAAGACCACAGTGAGGTGCCAGTCTTTATACAGTAAAAGCCAAAAAGGTCTTGCTTTTTTCTTTCACACTGTGTGTGTGGGGGATGCCAGGAGTCTAATCCCAGCTACCTCTGTGTACTAACCACACTCTTTACATTTCACCATGTGTTTATCATCTTCAGAAGGCAAGGGCCATTCCTGCATGATGTTCACCAATGTATTCCTAAAGAACTTGGCATCAGCCATAGCACTCTGGATATGTTTTCTAATTATTTATGTTTCAACATTTCCATGTAACTTCTTTAGTCACCTCTGACTCAATTTTATCTTCGAGTACAAAAAGTTTCTATCTTTATTTGGTCCCAGCACATACAGAATACTCCTTTTCCCACTTTTCTGTCACTCATACGGGCATTTTTGCATTTATACAGCCATGAACTTCTGTTCATGAACAGTTCAGTTGGCAAACAGGAGCTTTTTGCAAAATTTTGCTACTGCTATTGTACTCTGCGTCTCAATGAATGTGTACCATCTTTCCTGCATGAACACAAACATGGCTATCTTCCCCAGAATCATGGAATGAATCGAGATAGTGAACCAACGCATGACTGGCCACACACATTCCCACACTGAAGTCCTAGTGGTGGGAGTGTCTCTCCTGTCATATTGTTCTTCCCACAGAAGTTGTCAACAAGGCATTGTTTCAATGACTATGATCTACACTTTGTTTTAGTATATGACAGGACAAGTGTCTTCTCAGTACTATTCTTTCCCTAAATATATTATTTCAAATTACTTGGTCAAGCCCCCTACTAATAAAATACTATTTTAAAAATTAACTGTTAAGAGAATTTCCAGAAGATTTTTGAATCTAGCAGTTAATTGGAAAGATTCTCACCCTGACTAACTATATATACTGATAGCTGTGAACTAAGCTACTGCACTGCAGATGGTAATCTGTAATAGTAGTTTCATGCTTGGAGTGTCTGTCGTTCTGGTCTTCTGAATATGGGCTGCTTGTCATGACATGCCCAGTTGCTGCTATGATGTCTCTCGGGTAGATGGTTGTTTAAAAAGAAGTGGGTGGTGAATGAAGGCAAGAGACGGGAAAAGGAATACTGTGGGACTGTCCTGTTTCAAGGTTGTATATGGTTAGATTTTTGGACTTATGTGTAAACATAAGAAGTATATAATTCTTTATACCTATTTTTAAAATATATTCTA